GCATTTAAAGTAACTGGTTTTATCCAAGTTGGAAAAAAAGTATTTAATATCACACTGAATCAGTCTAAGCTAAGCTAAGCTAACTACAGGTTACCACTATTTACAGTATAACATTAACAGTAAGTATAGCAAGGATTTGCATCCGGAAGACAAAATTATTTGAACCAACTAAATTGATGAATAAATTAATGTATTGTGTCTGTATGTGGTAGAATTTAGTAAGTGGCAAATGAAGTATAATTATAAAGTTGAATGAAAATAAGACTGAGTCCTCACAATTTATCATAATAAATCTGAATAATAATAATAATAACTAGATGAGTAAAGTTCGTAGACAAACTTTAAGTTGGCTTGAAAAAGCCTAGTTTGAAGTAGTTTTAAAAGCTTGAAGTTTGAAGATTTTCAATAGTTTAAGTTTTAGTTTAGTAGTTTTAAAAGCTAGCGATGTGGTTGCTAAGGTGCTCAGGGTAGTTATAGATATAATATAGTTGTAATATTACAGTTATAGATAGAAATGGTCAGGATAGATAGATAGATATATAGATAGATAGATATAAATGGTCAGGATAGATAGATAGATAGAAATGGTCAGGATAGATAGATAGATATATAGATAGATAGATAAAAAATGGTCAGGATGATAGATAGATAGATAGATAGAAATGGTCAGGATAGATAGATAGATAGATAGATAGATAGATAGATAGATAGATAGATAGATAGATAGATAGATAGAAATGGTCAGGATAGATAGATAGATAGATAGATAGATAGATAGAAATGGTCAGGATAGATAGATAGATAGATAGATAGAAATGGTCAGGATAGATAGATAGATATATAGATAGATAGATAAAAAATGGTCAGGATAGATAGATAGATAGATAAATAGAAATGGTCAGATTAGATAGATAGATAGATAGAAATGGTCAGATTAGATAGATAGATAGATAGATAGATAGATAGATAGATAGATAGATAGATAGATAGATAGATAGAAATAGTCAGATAGATAAATCAGATAGATAGATATAAATAGTCAGATAGATAGATAGATAGATATAAATAGTCAGATCAGGTTTGAATTACAGCTTCACTACGATAACGTTTAACGGTTCTGTTGTGTATGGCTTTATCCGGTGAACAGCGTGAACACCCGATGTTAGCAGCAATCCATTTTGAAACGATGAAATGAGCTGGTCACAAAATTAGCAGCTACTAATTGACTTATTAATTATAGATCATTTATAATAGTTTAGATAGATGTAATCAGTCTGAATTCAAATCAACATATCATCATTTCATCGTTTCAAAACCATGTTTAATGTGTTGTTTAATAATGGTGATGTGATTTATAAGTTCGATAACCATAATTTTCCTTCATGATGTGAACCGCATGGTATCATTTCAGAAATATCTTTAGTAGCCTACAGACGATTTGACATAGCGCTGTCAGGACTTAAAACATCAACACGAAAATCTCATTGAAAAAGTGGGCAAGGAATGAGAAAAAAATGTGACAAAATCAGGAATAACGTTTTCTTTGCAGTAGCCAACTAACTCAGCTCCTTAATCACTCACATGGATTTAATATATTAGTAAGAAACAATTGTGGTTGTTTTCATACTGTATATGCATGTTGTATCTTGGAGGCGTTGATATCTTTGGTAGCAGGAATGAACTGACTCTTTGGGAATCTGAAGACAAGAGCAATAACACAGTTTCTTTGAATGTAATGTCAAACGCTAGTCGCTAGCAGGTATTTTTATGGATGGAGATCCTGCCATTCCAAGTCTCTTAATGAAATTGAATAGCTTTCCTATCAAGGTCATGGCTTTAAATTCATAAGATGTCAAATGCACTAAGGGGAAGCCCTCAAACGAATGAAATAACAACAGCATCGTGTGTCTTCAGTGTTACATAAGCCCTTGTGTTTCTATCCTATAGAAGAGCGAGTCTTTCTAAAGACTTTTATACCATATATTGGTATGTTTTCGTGTACAAAAACTTGTGAGTGATTAAACACTGATTATCAATGATATCAAAAAGTTTCATTTAGGATATTCAAAGTCTTGTAGAAGTGCATCATGTTTGAACAGGACAGTACATTTCAAGTAAAACAACAAACAGCACAGCGAAAGACATAAGAGCATGTAAGTAACTCAAGAAAATGTCTTTCCTTTGCACTCAAACACACACCTATGAGTCCGGGATTGAAAAAGAAACAGCAACCAACACACACACAACCAAACGAATTCATCATCTAAAAAAAGTGTTCAGAAAGTAAAGCGTTGCCCAAAAACTACAGCTAATCTCACTTGGAAGATAAACTCCAACAAATCAGAAAAACGGCAGCATTAGGAAGAAAGCGACTGCGCTTGCTGAAGAACTGCTTCCGTCCTTCTCGATCCTAACCGTCCGTTCCATTTAATCGTTTTCCCTGCTATACATGTCTCATGTATAACCCAGCACCTTTTTGAAGATATTTCTACAAATCTCTGCACTGTACAGAACCGAAGCCATGATAACACACAACCTGATGAGGCCACGTCGCCGTAACACACTGCTAAACATCAGTGTACCAATCGCTATTTTGGTCTTGTTTTGCAATATCTAAACATCCTAAAAACAAAATACATGTACTCACCCTCAGGCTAGATAAGATGTAGATGAGTTTCTTCATGGGAACAGATTTGGAGAAATGTGGAGAGCTCAGCAATGGATGCTCTGCAGTGAATGGGTGCCGTCAGAATGAGAGGCCAAACAGCTGATAAAAACAGCACAATAATCCACAGCACTCCAGTCCATCAGTTAACCCCTGGAGAAGACAAAAGCTGTGTGTTTGTAAGAAACTAATCCATCAAGATACCACAATAATCCACAAGTAAGTCCATCCCCCGTTTTCCTTTCACATTAAAATCCACCCACAGATTTGTTTAGAGCTGTTTTGGACTGTTTCCGCTTGTGAGCGCTGCTTGATCTGCGCAGACTTCTGTCCTGACTTTAACTGGAGAAAGCAATATTATGGATTGTGGACTCGTATTTTAGCCAGAAGCAAGGGTTTGTAGGTATCTTGATGGATTAGTTTCTTACAAACACACAGCTTTTGTCTTCTCCAGGGGTTAACTGATGGACTGGAGTGCTGTGGATTATTGTGCTGTTTTTATCAGCTGTTTGGACTCTCATTCTGACGGCACCCATTCACTGCATGTAACTCTAAATTTCTCATCTTGGATGACATGAGGGGAGTACATTTTCAGCAAATTCTTGTTTTTGGGTGAACTATTCTTTAAAAAAAATGAAAAAAAGTAAATATGGTAGTACAAATAAACCACTGTAGAAAGTTAAGAAAGACAAAACATAAAGGTACACTTTGTTACTTTTTTGTTCAAAATCTACAACATTGATACAGCGAGCGAGAACATCATGAATCCATCTTCCAAAATGTGTTTTTGTCTTATTCTGAATCACTATGTACCTTTAAGTATGACTTCTGACCAAAAAAATACAAATAAAATCCTGCATAACATAAAGGCCAGCTAAAAACCAAACGCCTTGATTGTCTTCTCTTTTCATGATTATATTCTCCTACTGCATGTGTTTGATGGATTCACAAGGTGAATCTTTCTTTCAAGTCTACCAAAACGACAGTTCTTCCAACCAGACTGACACATATCTGCTGTACTAAAGCACAAATACAAATATTCTGACTTATAGCAGTGTGGTATTGAACAGCTTCATCGAGTCACGTGTTATCATCACTTTTATGAACTATTTTTGATACTAACAAACCACTTAAAGTCACTTCCTGTAGACTCCTCTACTGTAGGCCATATATGTATGAAACACTATGTGCATTATAATGCACATTTAAACACAAAAACCAGCTTTCAGAAACCTGAAATATTTGGTATCATTACTGTATATACACCGAATAAAATACTAAATCAGCCCTATCTCTAATTGTACAGTATCAAGAGAGGATACAGAATTTTTAAATAATTTCTAAAATGTCTAAAAAATGATTTATACTTTTTAAATTTGAAATAAAAATGAATTGATCCTGAATACTGTAACGTTAGGCACAAACTGTTTCACAGGTAATCATTAGATTTAAAATGCCCCTCAAATATATATATATATATTTTTTTTTTTACAAAAATTCTGATTCATTTCCATTACTAATTAAAAAGAAAATGCACAAAACCAGAAAATCGCTATTTCTGCATCGAATAATTCATATGAAAGACAAAACTATATTGCCTTGCTATGTACCAAACTTTGCAATAAATAATAAGTTAATGATTGTCTGTTGCTTTCAGAGAAATGATGATTGAATTAGAGTGATTTCATCACTATTTCTTTGAAGACTCTTAAAATGGTGCGGCATAAAGAAGTGGCTTTAAATGGTTTCTTCACCAAAACACCTAAATATCAAACAACAAATTCAAAAATAAGACAAACAAAATGCACTGTTTGCATCTTAATCTGTACAAAAAATATCGTACTGCTGCTGCTGACCGAAGAAAAAAGAACAAATCTAAAAGTTGCATATTTTACAAACAATAAGAGACACATTTTTTACTTTCTCTTTTTTGATCCTCCCATAATAAAGAACTACCCCGATGAAAAAATTGCATATGCTGGTTAGGTATGATTTGGAACATGACAGCTGGTTTAAGCTGGTTCTGAGCAGGAGCTAGTTGCTAGCCATCTTACAACCAGCTCAGGACCAGCTTAAACCAGCTGCCATGCTTCAAACCACACCTAACCAGCATATGCTGGTTTTTCATCAGGGTAGTTCCTAAAAATAAGAATTTGCCATTACGTGCATAAAATAACACACTTTCTCTTTTTTGATCCTCCCATAATAAAGAACTACCCCGATGAAAAAATTGCATATGCTGGTTAGGTATGATTTGGAACATGACAGCTGGTTTAAGCTGGTTCTGAGCAGGAGCTAGTTGCTAGCCATCTTACAACCAGCTCAGGACCAGCTTAAACCAGCTGCCATGCTTCAAACCACACCTAACCAGCATATGCTGGTTTTTCATCAGGGTAGTTCCTAAAAATAAGAATTTGCCATTACGTGCATAAAATAACACATTGTGTTTTCCTTACCCATTTCTAAATCGTGATTTTTTTTTTTTACGCTTTTTTTCTGTTTTGTTATCAAAATAGATGAAAGATTGATAGCTCTTTTGCACAGTCTCCCACTGTTGGCTAAGTGACTCCTGAAGAGAGGGGAGTTGAACAAAACATGACTGATGTCCTTTTTGTCTCTGTCCTAAAAAAGATACACGCGCATTTTGTGATCCGGATCCCCTCTGGTGTTCTTTGTCTGTGGTAATCTGCAAATCTCACTCTCGGAGACTCCCATTGTCCACAGCACTGTGTAGCACCTCCAGAGGACCTGTGGTGGGTCCAGGACAGACAGAGAGAGAGAGAGAGAGAGAGAGAAAAAACTACAAATACATTAAAAATGTAGTTCATGTTTAGCAATGAAAATGGCCTAACAATTATATATAAACATGAATAAAGGCAGGAGTGAGTCTCAGTGGTCAAATTGTTTGATGCAAGCAAAGTAATCAAGCGTTTCTGTTAAAGGAATGGAGCAGACGTTATCTTCGAATACACTAATTGATTAATTGAATAATATGCTAATTAATAGTTTATTACATGCAAGCTGGCTGCATTTGAAAGGTAAATGCACAGTGCCAAACCTGCCATTTGACCTGTTGTCTTACCGTAGCTTCATTTGCTGTGTTGATAGGAATAATTAGTGTGTTCTGAAGGCGTCTCCATGGAAACCTGCTGCTGCTGCTGCTGTCCACTGCTTTCCTACATGACAAAGAACGAGAATGAATCGAAATCTTACCAGTGAAGCATCAGCATTCAAAGCGGCGTGTGCAGACAAACCTCTAATGTAACACTAGAGGGAGGCACCGGGGTGTACTGAGGGATATATGGTCCTTGCATAGCTGCGTTGGGTATATACTGCGGGCAAAAAAATGAATACAACAAATGGTTAAACAAAAACTTTCCTTTACATTTTGATAGAAATTAGATTCCACTAAGAAGACAAACTCTCATTGAGGGACTATTAAGGGTAAAAGTCATGGTAATAGGCCACCGACCGTGCCAGCGCTGCCCAACGACAGGTGACTGAGCTGCTGGGTCAGGGGTCCGATCATAGACGTGGGCTGAATGGACATCGGGTGATCCATAGCTGGAGTCAGAACGGCCCCCTGCGGAGAGACAGATGCTCAGAAACCAAGGGTGATTTCTCGCTAACCAAACCTCATGGGTGTCTGAGTTAACACTGTGCTTCTTTTATTATTAAAGGGAAGATAAAAAAAAAAAAAACACAGATGCATGGACACTTTCATGTGAAGTACAGTAAAGCTACAGTTTGACAACAAACCCTACAAACACTCACGGTGGGCTGCATGAGGTACGACTGATGATGCATCCAGGACGGGCTGTGCACCTGTGGACACAGACAAAAACACTACGCATGAATCATATCTCCAAGTAATGCACTCAAGTTTTGGCAACCAGATATTTTCTGAATAGAAATGGTTTTGGAGGGTTGAAATCATCGCCCGAGACAGTGACTTTTAATTGGTGTTTTTTTTTGTTTTTTTTATGGTTGGATGAACAAAACTGATTTATCGTTTTTATTCGATACTCATATGGATTATTACATCTCAAGATCAATCCTTTAGTCTATTTTCTGAAATAGACAAAACATTGTCAACTTCCTGAAGTGTATTGTATCTTGTGTAATTGTGCAATCAGTGTTTCATCCGCAGAAAATTATTTAAAGACATCAATAAATCAGCTTCTAAACAAAGTCCCATAATGTTACATTTACCTCCATAAACCCATTAGTCAGTAAAATAACTCTTGAGAGGAGCATTTTGCTAAATACATGCACTACATTACATATGTTATTTTTACTTAACCTGTCGTCTTCATTATTTAATGTATGTTTGAATAAATCTGTCATGGAAACAACTTTTATTACAGCCACTGTTGCAGACGAATTGGAATAGGAATGTGATATATACTCTACATTAAAAAAAGGGGTCTGTAAGATCTATTTTGAAATAAATGTAATACTTTTATTCATGTAGGATGCATTCAATTGATCAAAAGTGACAGTACAAATATCTATAATGTTGCAAAGGACTTCTGTTTCAAATAAATGCTGGGTTACACTTTATTTTAAGGTGTCCTTGTTGCAGTGTAATTATACACATAAGTACCGAGTAATATTAATTAACTACACATACTTATTATATGGTTTGGCTTAGGGTTACTTGCATGTAATTATGCATAATTAATGGTTATTATAATAGTAAGTGCATGCACATGTAACGGACACCTTAAAATAAAGTGTTACCAAATGCTGTTCTTTTGAACTCTATTCATCAAAGAATCCTAAAAACAAAAACAACAACAACAACAAAAAACTTATTTTCAACATTGATAATAATCAGAAATGTTTCTTTCTCAGCAAATCGCCATTTTAGAGTGATTTCTGAAGATCGTGTGACACTGAACAGTTTTGCCATCACGGGAATAAATTACATTTAAAATATATTCAAAAAGAAACATTGTTTTTACTGTATTTTGATCAAATAACTGTGACTTTGGCTTCTTTAAAAACTTTACAAAATCTCACCAACCCCAAGCTTTTATAAAAATCACCATGCCTCAGCACATTTCAAAAAAATGCATTTTCATTTTCGGGTGAGCTACTCCTTTAAGTATTTAATGTGCTCAACGGTCTTCAGTCCATTAAAACAACTCTTCAGATAAGACAAATGTTAGGCGCTAGCAGACATTACGCAGTAATCCGGCTCTAATGGGCCGTTCAGTGGCTTCTGAGCACGCGTGCCAGACCTACAGGATCTCAGCGAACATTATTTGCTTTTGCCTGCTCATCCATCAGCACTCAATAAGGTGTCAGAGTTCCCACAAGCCACTGCGGTCTAATATTCTCCCTGAACACACGCTGTGAGTCACTCTCTGTTTCCATCGACTGCTGCCGGCTTCAGCACACACTCAGCTTGAGCTCACTATCGCAACAAAAATGAAACGTAATCTGGATTGACCTAAAGTTCGCTAAGAACACACAGAAACGGGTGATTAGAAATGACAAACAAGAACGTCTGTTTAAAGACTTGGGATTGTAAAAACAAAGAGTGAAAGAGTGAATAAATAATATGATTTTGCTGTAGTAAAGTACTGACTAAACTAAAGTCATTGCTGCAAATTTGCCTCCAATAGCTGAAATTTGACAATGAAACATGAAGTTGTCCCAGAAGACAACTATCATTTAGATCTGACCTTATTAATGTTTTAAGAAATATTTTCAACAACAATATTGAGGGAAAGCAGTGCTGTATCACTGTGTGTATATAGAACATACAATTATGACATGCATAAAATTGATATCATTATCTTAATGATGCTGACCTGGTAAGACGGTACTTGTGAGGGCATGTATGGAGACAGAGAGGTCTGAGCGATCATTCTGTTTGGAGCGATGCTGTACGGAGGAGAATAAAACCTGAAAATAATAAGCAAAAACAGTAAGAAACATTAGCACACTTTGAGACATTAGATGTTCATTTAAAATGCCATTGAGAGTTATTTTGAAGAACACCTTTTTTTTTTGTGTGTGTGAAATTAAAGTCTTAAAGGGACAGTTCACCCAAAAAATTTTTTAATTCCGTCATCATTGATTCACGCTCATGTCGATCCAAACGTGGAATTTGATACACACATGAAAATATATACAAAATATTTTCGTTCGTGTATCAAATTCCAAGTTTGGATCCTGAAGCCTGAGAGATTTCTGTGCATTCATTCAAAATCCATGCAACCAAATCTTGCATTGATGTTTCAAAACGTTCATAAAGAGATCATAAAAGTAATCCATATGAATCCAAGTCTTAATCGGATGAATCCAAGTCTTCTGAGGAGACGCGGTTGCTTTATATGATGAACAGATTTCATTTAGGCTTAAACTTTGATCAGTGCACATATATTAAGCACATCAAATATGGTAAATGGAAGCTCAACTGTTGTTGAGCAAGAATGAACAAGAATATACCTTTAAATACTGATCTAAAGCAAGTTCTTTCTTAGACACTTAGAAACCAGGCTCTGCGTGTGTGAGGATGTTTCTCTGTGCTCACCCGTTCTGTAAGACTGCTGGGTCGTATGGGAGCGTCATTCCTACCTGAACGTGGAAAGGAAAATGATTAACTTTATATTAAATGTACAAGGTAAACAGAGTCAGAGTCCACAATGAAAGCTCTCATACCGTTTCACCATCTCTAGGCCAGGCTCGACCGTTCTGTAGGTACCTTGCCTGGTTCTGCCGCTTCTTTTGTCCTCCGTCAGCAAACTTGCATAACAACGGCTCTGTGGGAACTACAGGTGAAGCAGCCAGTAGGAAATTATTTTTTAAAAATGAACATATGTTATTGTTCCATAATCAGTAATGAATTCTTTCATTGGAATTTATAAAAAAAATATTATTTATCATCTACCTGGCACTCCTGGTGGGGTTTTGATATATTTTCCATTAAAATGCTGAATGATGGCTTCACATTTCTCTGTGGATTCCATCCTGTTATTCAAATAACATGAATAAACAATTCAAAGTGGGAAATGTTGTATTATTATTAGTTATGACCTTATATATTTCATATATAAGTGATGGTAAAGACAGAAAATATCCTAACTGAAATATTGATAATAATAAAAAAAATGTCAGGTCGAAATACCAAATAAAAAAAAAATATTGTAAATTCAAATTCTTCCACACCCAATTTTATACATCAAAGCTCCTACTTCTTGCCATTTCATTCAATGATGTTTTTTTTGTTTTATTTTATGTACAGTATATAGAATGTAAGTACAATACAAATGTCAGCACCTTTATAATTAGCATACCAAACCTAAATGTGCATATAATAACACAGATACATTTAAAGGGTTAGTTCACTCAAAAATGAAAATTCTGTCATTAATCACCCGTAAGACCTTCGTTCATCTTCGGAACACAATTTAAGATATTTTTGATGAAATCTTTCTCTGACCCTCCCATAGACAGCAAGGTAACTACCACGTTCCAAGGTCCAGAAAAGTACCAAGATGATCGACAAAGTAGTCTGTCCGTTTTTGCGCAAAGAAAACAAAAATAACGACTTTATTCCATATTTTCGTCTCTACTTTCGTCTAGAGCGTGTGGCGGCGCTGACCCAGATCCGGCGTAATGATGTAATCACACGCTCGTGTCATGGTACTGTCGTGAACGCGCGTCCACAAGTGATGCAGTAGAGACGAAAATGTGGAATAAAGTCGTTATTTTTGTTGTTTTTGCGCAAAAACGGACAGACTACTTTGTCGATCATCTTGGTACTTTTCTGGACTTTGAACGTGGTAGTTACCTTGCTGTCTATAGGAGGGTCAGAGAGCCCTCAGATTTCATCAAAAATATCTTAAATTGTGTTCCGAAGATGAACGAAGGTCTTACGGGTTTGGAACAACACTCAGGTGAGTGATTAATGACAGAATTTCCTTTTTGGGTGAACTAACCCTTTAAAATATTATTAAACTGTTATATAGTAGGTAACAGTTCCCCCATCTGGACTGGAGGATTCGTTGCAGCTTGAGTGATTAATAAAGTACCTTGCAAAGCCCACGCCCCTGCTGGTTCCGTTAGCGTCCCGTAAGATCCGTGTGGAAATCACCTGGCCGAAGGACTTGAGCATGGCCTCCAGCTCCTGCTCATCCATGGACATGGGCAGGTTAGAGATGTACAGGTTGGTAGGGTCCTGTTCCTGTTGCTAGAAATAAACGCATACAGTAAATCTGATTGACTGCACTCATCTGTAATACAATCAGTAAAATATTTGATAGAGTCTTTTCTACTTTTCAGAATGATAACATTAATAGTTTATAGTAGCAATTTTAAATTTTCCTTCATCTCACATACTATTAGCAGTTCACATGTCACGTTCATTTTGACTTCAGAAAACATACATGGAAAAGGTAAATGTACTATTAAAAGATTCATAAAAACTGTATCATAACATATATTTTAATACAGGAGAGTTGAGTGCAATTGTAATACTTACAGCTGGCAGGAATAGAGTATTTTAAGTGGGACTGAAATTATAATGATTTGAAATGGTTTAAATCCTTTTTATTAATCCTCTGGTGTTGTTCGCATAGCAGGTCAAAAATGAGTGATTTTTTTGTTTGTTTGTTTTGTAGTATTAAATGAAAACTATATTTTATTCTAAAAAACGTTTTCTATTTTTTTATTTAATATTTTGTATTTTTAGGGGATTTTATGGTACTAAATTATATTTATGGAATAGGTATGAGACCTTAAACTGTCGTAAATCTTGAATGCTTTGGAGCACAGGCTCTTGGACTCTTTTAAAAGGTAGATTATTGCTGAAATGAAAAAAAAAAAGTTATAGAAGTTTAGGTTTATTATTATGAAAAATGCACAAAAGTACATTTTTTTAATATTATATGAAATATAGGTTCTCAAAAACATGAAAATAAAGTCTATAAATCTAAAGTTGTGTTCCAAATTTGAAGTTGATATCTCAAAAAAATTAGCTTTCTGTAATTATTTGCTTGGGCACATCTCAATATTTCTACTAGATGAAATTTGCTTCCCATGCATTTCCAGTGTGGCCATTTTTCACTGCAAACGATACAAGTGTGACAATGCTTTGGAGCACAGGCTCTTGGACTCTTTTAAAAGGTAGATTATTGCTGAAATGAAAAAAAAAAAGTTATAGAAGTTTAGGTTTATTATTATGAAAAATGCACAAAAGTACATTTTTTTAATTTTATATGAAATATAGGTTCTCAAAAACATGAAAATAAAGTCTATAAATCTAAAGTTGTGTTCCAAATTTGAAGTTGATATCTCAAATAAATTAGCTTTCTGTAATTATTTGCTTGGGCACATCTCAATATTTCTACTAGATGAAATTTGCTTCCCATGCATTTCCAGTGTGGCCATTTTTGACTGCAAACGATACAAGTGTGACTTTTTTTTCAGGATAATATTGTGTGTGTGTGTTTGTGTGTGTGTGTGTGTGTGATCACATAGCAAGTGCCAAAACCTTTACCGAATGTTGTACCATTCTGATGTAAAAAATGACCGAACAACACCAGAGGGGTTAATCAGACAAAAACACTGTTCATCTAGACACATTGATTCAATTATGTTCATACTGAAGATTAAATTTTTTCCACTCAGTCAAAGAATTGTTATTTTATAACTAGAATTTGCTTTTGCTCTCCCAACCAAGATGACATTATGTATGCTGGCTACTAGCTACAGCATTATCATGTATTTTTCATAACTTTTACCATCAACCAAGACATAAAATAGATTATAGTTTGGGGAAAAAATCACTTTTATAACTTCAAAATCAGTTTTTGTTGGAAATGTATCACGCTGTTTGTCAGGCTGAAAGAAAACTTTACAGCGCTTATGCTGAATAAATTTAATCACTGTAATTTTTTTGGCAACTAAAGAAATTTAAGCTCTATATGAAATTCATTTAAAGTAGCAAATAATCAAATTTGCATTATTTATTTTTTGGAATCAAATTGCAGCCTTGTTTAAGTGCCTTTTTCTTCTTAATCATTGCTGCAGAAAGCAGTCGGGCACATTTACAGAGTCAAATCACACGGCTGAGAGCTCACAGATCCTGCCGGATGAAGTGATCTGATATGCTAACATGAAAGAGTAAATACTCCAACCATATGAAACAAAATATTTGACACGATATTTCCTTAAATGACCGAGTAATGAAGCAAATTCACAGCATTCTAACCCACTACTCTTCCTCTTTTTGTGTTATGCAGTATACCGTATACTGTGCAAAGCATGCAACATTATAGTATGCATACCCAGACGATGACCTACTACTAATACTTGCCAAAATATGCAGTATACAAATGAGCACACTTCACATAGCACCGTATCCCACAATGCAATGACCTCGACCCGACCTTCTACTGCAGTGTGATAAATGAAGCAGAAGTAATTACAGTGAGCTGCACAGATCCCTTTCTTATGCATTATTTAATCAGACTGTCAAGTTAAGCCTGTAACACCTGAGATATGAAATAAGAGTCAGAATAATCTCTTTTTTATGGAACAGAAATTTTTTTGATTTTGGCCTTCATAGACATTATTGTTTTTACATAAACAAATGGACAGCTCTAAACCCAATTGTGTATTTCAGATGCATCAAGTCCCACAACCTCACCCTCTGCAGAGAGAAACTGCCACTCAAACACACAAAAATGACGGACTTAAAGGCATCATAGAGGATTGTGAAGATATTTCACTGGAATCTAGTCTTCATCACATCTATTTTTAGTTTTTATTTTGTGTTTTACTTCTTTATGTATTTATTCATGTTCAATGTCAACTGTTGTTAAGAGCACTGACATTTTTGCTACAATTTCACAATAAAAAAGTACCTAATTTACAATATGTTGTTGCTGTTGTTGTTTTAATGTAAATCCCTAATAGAGGCTACACTCCAAAAAAAAAAAGAAAAAAGAAAAAAAGATGACTCATTACTCATTTTTTGGACCTCAGCCATCCAACTACAGTACACAGACTGTCAACACACTCTCAGCAGGTAAATGATTTCTTTCTTAAAATGTCTATTATTTTTAACTTTCAAACTGTAACTGGTTTCCTAGCAATCATGTCTTTTTCTCTTTTTAGTTTAAGAGAACACGTAAGTGTGACCAGCTATGTCCAGTTAAGGATACTTCTTTCCCCATCTCCACTAAGTAAGTAACAAAGATATTGAATTTATGGTCCATATTGTTAGATTTATTTATTTTTTATTTATTACTTGGGTTTATGCATAAACATAACATTAAAAAACGTTTTCTATTTTTTTATTTAATATTTTGTATTTTTAGGGGATTTTATGGTACTAAATTATATTTATGGAATAGGTATGAGACCTTAAACTGTCGTAAATCTTGAATGCTTTGGAGCACAGGCTCTTGGACTCTTTTAAAAGGTAGATTATTGCTGAAATGAAAAAAAAAAAGTTATAGAAGTTTAGGTTTATTATTATGAAAAATGCACAAAAGTACATTTTTTTAATTTTATATGAAATATAGGTTCTCAAAAACATGAAAATAAAGTCTATAAATCTAAAGTTGTGTTCCAAATTTGAAGTTGATATCTCAAATAAATTAGCTTTCTGTAATTATTTGCTTGGGCACATCTCAATATTTCTACTAGATGAAATTTGCTTCCCATGCATTTCCAGTGTGGCCATTTTTGACTGCAAACGATACAAGTGTGACTTTTTTTTCAGGATAATATTGTGTGTGTGTGTTTGTGTGTGTGTGTGTGTGATCACATAGCAAGTGCCAAAACCTTTACCGAATGTTGTACCATTCTGATGTAAAAAATGACCGAACAACACCAGAGGGGTTAATCAGACAAAAACACTGTTCATCTAGACACATTGATTCAATTATGTTCATACTGAAGATTCAATTTTTTCCACTCAGTCAAAGAATTGTTATTTTATAACTAGAATTTGCTTTTGCTCTCCCAACCAAGATGACATTATGTATGCTGGCTACTAGCTACAGCATTATCATGTATTTTTCATAACTTTTACCATCAACCAAGACATAAAATAGATTATAGTTTGGGGAAAAAATCACTTTTATAACTTCAAAATCAGTTTTTGTTGGAAATGTATCACGCTGTTTGTCAGGCTGAAAGAAAACTTTACAGCGCTTATGCTGAATAAATTTAATCACTGTAATTTTTTTGGCAACTAAAGAAATTTAAGCTCTATATGAAATTCATTTAAAGTAGCAAATAATCAAATTTGCATTATTTATTTTTTGGAATCAAATTGCAGCCTTGTTTAAGTGCCTTTTTCTTCTTAATCATTGCTGCAGAAAGCAGTCGGGCACATTTACAGAGTCAAATCACACGGCTGAGAGCTCACAGATCCTGCCGGATGAAGTGATCTGATATGCTAACATGAAAGAGTAAATACTCCAACCATATGAAACAAAATATTTGACACGATATTTCCTTAAATGACCGAGTAATGAAGCAAATTCACAGCATTCTAACCCACTACTCTTCCTCTTTTTGTGTTATGCAGTATACCGTATACTGTGCAAAGCATGCAACATTATAGTATGCATACCCAGACGATGACCTACTACTAATACTTGCCAAAATATGCAGTATACAAATGAGCACACTTCACATAGCACCGTATCCCACAATGCAATGACCTCGACCCGACCTTCTACTGCAGTGTGATAAATGAAGCAGAAGTAATTACAGTGAGCTGCACAGATCCCTTTCTTATGCATTATTTAATCAGACTGTCAAGTTAAGCCTGTAACACCTGAGATATGAAATAAGAGTCAGAATAATCTCTTTTTTATGGAACAGAAATTTTTTTGATTTTGGCCTTCATAGACATTATTGTTTTTACATAAACAAATGGACAGCTCTAAACCCAATTGTGTATTTCAGATGCATCAAGTCCCACAACCTCACCCTCTGCAGAGAGAAACTGCCACTCAAACACACAAAAATGACGGACTTAAAGGCATCATAGAGGATTGTGAAGATATTTCACTGGAATCTAGTCTTCATCACATCTATTTTTAGTTTTTATTTTGTGTTTTACTTCTTTATGTATTTATTCATGTTCAATGTCAACTGTTGTTAAGAGCACTGACATTTTTGCTACAATTTCACAATAAAAAAGTACCTAATTTACAATATGTTGTTGCT